CTCCTTGCAGTGGATGGCGGCCGCCCGCTTCCAGCGCCCCACGACGCGGCGGTGCCAGCGCCTGGGGTCGGCAAAGGCATCGGGCACGCGCGGCACGAGCCCGACCCGCTCCACCTGCGGCCGCTCCGCGGGGTGCTGCCGCGGGTCGCCCTGCCTGAGGGTGACGCGCACGTCGGGCGAAGGCTCGAGCTCGCCGTCGACCCAGGCCGAGAAGTCGCCGGCCGGCCCAGCACTGCCCGCCAGGCCGCCCCGCAGCTCCTCCCCGGAGGCGATGGCGGTCGGGTCTTCGTCGATGAACCGCCATCGCTCACGCCAGACGGCGACGTCCCACAGCTGGTGCTGGTCCGCGGCGGAGACGTGCAGCGCGTAGCCCTCCGTCGAGGCGTCGCTGCAGTAGGCGCGGTCGAGCATCGGGGCTGCCAGGTCGAGGTGCACGAAGTGGACGAGGTCCCTGGCGATTCGCAGCTCGTCAACCACATCGGCGGGCAAGGGCAGAATCTCGGCGCCGCCAGTGCCCACGAAGCGGTAGGCCGCCCCCAAGACGCTGAGGGCACACCGCCGCAGGCTGAAGTGATGCACCAGATGGCCCAAGAGGCCACGGACGCGGTTGGGCGAGAGCGCCCCTCGGTGGATGGCCTCCCCCAGGGCGTACCAGAGACGCCAGCTGCGCCGGTGGCTGTGCCTGACCCAGCGCCGCTGGCCGTCGAAGACCAAGCCCACCGCCTCGAAGGACTGCGCGGCGTCCACCCGCTCGTGGACCTGCAAGCCCATGCTGACCAGCTCCTCCACCACCGCGACGTGCAACCGCTCGACCGAGTCCTTGTCGCACCCGAGGATGTTGGCGTTGTCCACATACGGCGCGCAGACCGCCACTCCAGGCCGAAGAGGCGGGGGCGGCTGTCGGTCCCCGACGATGACTGGCCCCAGCCCCAGGCGCAGCTGGGCCCGGCGACAAGCCTCGGACACGGCGCTGTGGCAGAAGTAGAGCGCCCAGCTCCAGCCCATCGGCAGGCCGCCGAAGCAGACCTCGAGCTCCTCTGTCGAGTCGACGGGGATGTAGCCGTTGACCTCAGGATCGTAGACCTCAGAGACGCCAGCCTCGCCAGCGCGGCGAGACACACCAAGCCCGAAAAAGTGCGAGACCGTAGGCGCCAGGAACTGGTAGAATCCGCCCTGCAGGTCGATCGACGCCCCCCAAAGCTCGGCCTCATGAGTGGGGTTCGCATCGACGAAGTGAGGATCGAGAACCAGGCTCGACATGGCCGCGGTCGTGGCGAGGCGCGTGTAGGGGGCTTTGCGATGCAGCTGGTTGGTCGGCCGACAGTCCAGCACCATCCGCAGCATACCCGTCTTCTTCGCCACGAAGAAGATACCCACGCGTGACACCACGCGGCGGCGATACGTGATGAGGCCGACGGAGTCGAGCTTCGAGATGAGGTCGTCCAAGAGGGAAGGCGACCTCCGCAGCCGCTCGTCCCAGTGGGGCCGCACAGGGGGCGGCCCCTGAGCCTCTGCCGGCAGCACAATACGCCGCGGGTCGTCCAAGCACACCCGATCGGCATCGCCGACGAGCCCCGGAGCGTCCTGAGGTCGGATGTTGCCCTTCGTGACGGCGAGGAGCTCAGGCTGATAAGGAGCAACGGCCAAGGCAATGTCACTCTCGTACAAGTCTTTCGTCTTAAGAATCTCAGAAAGGGCCCCGTCTGGGCACAACTCAGATTGTCGAGGCTGCGGAGCGGCGGCTTCTGCGGCGGTCGCGAGCCTCCCCCGCGCCTGCCGCTGCGGCTCCGAGAGCGGCCGACGCGGAGTCGCGTGGGAGAGCGGCCCTGGCGAGGGCACGCCCTTGGCCCGAGCTCCCGCCAAGGCGTTGAGCGCCGATGCCGCCGAAACCTGCAACCGACGAAGCCCAGGATCAGGGAGCAGAAGACCGTCGGCGCCAGACGACGCCGCACTAGATGAATTGGCATGTTCTGGAAGATCCAGAGGGAAGGGGAACGAGGCCGAGGTGCCGCCATCCCAGTCGAGCCAGGCTGCAGCACAGGTGGTCGTGGGAAGGCCCACGTGTCACAACTTCGACCCGTCCTTCATGCGCCTGTCCGTCTCTTCTGCGAACAGCCGCCGTTGCTTGGGCGCGAAGGCCTCCGTCTCTTGCCCCCCCGCGATGAACTCGGCGAAGTCGCCTGTGGCCGCCGCCGTGCCCGAGTCGAAGGTCGATGCGATCATCATCTCGAGGCCTCGGCAGTCGGGACTCTTTGGCGAGCGCGGAGAAACCCGCTCGGCGTGCCTCACCCTCCGCGCCAGCATCTCCATGCCCTCCAGGCGGTAGATCTCGAGCTGTTCGAAACCCAGCGCGTGGTGGAAGATGCTGAGGAGGGAGGCGCGGCGATGGGCGAAGCCCGTGTCGGGGCCAACCCCTGAGGCTCGGACCCAGTAGTCGTGGTGCGTGCCGATCGTCTCGCTCGTCGCGCGGATCATCGTCATGAGCTCGAACCCCGTGCTCAGGCCCCTGGAAGGCGAGTCGCCCTCGGCGGAGCCATTGCCGACGGCCCCCGCAGCCGGCGGTACCCGCTTCTGCGGCGCCGCCATCGCGTCGCGGAGCCCGATGCACCAGTGATCCTGCCGGCCCCTGACGAACGGCATCACGCGCGGGTCCCGACCCACGCCCGACTTGTTCTCCTCCTTCCAGTCCTTGAGGTCCGTGGGCGCGACCCGCCCCAAGGCCGCCCAGGGGTCGTCGATGAGCCCCAGGACAGTCGTCCCACGCTGCACGAAGCGAGCTGGGTGCCACGACTCGGTAGCATCGATCGGCTCCCCCGACGGGTCCGCGCCCGTGTCCGAGACCACCCACCCAGGCCGCGATACCCGGCCCTGGAGGGGCAGCAACACCCCCAATGAGCACCGCCACCGCCTCGTCCTGCTGCTTGAGGGCCGGCAGCTGCTCCGGAGTCAGGGCGACCCCCTTCGTGCCGTCGCCCACCCTGCCGAGGACCAGGCGGTGGTACCCCATGAAGTGGTCGCTGTCCGGGAAGTCGATGGCCACCTGCGGACTGGCGGTGCCCGGAGCGAAGCCCCCGGGGCGGGCCGCCATCACTCGCGTCTCTCTCGAGACCGCCAGACCTAACTTTCGTCGGGCGTCCGAAGTCCTGACCCACTCCTTGGACTCGGGGGCCCACCAGCGCCCAGAGCAGGCAGCCTGCGCACAGGATGGGCGCCCGCCACAGCCGGCGCCGCCCCGAGGGCGTCTCGGCAGATGGGCGGGACGCCAAGGCTCGCCCTGCCCTCCGCCGCGGCTGCGAGGCGGACGTTGCCCCACCAGGAGAACGCGCGGGCCGCCCACAGGAGCAGCGCCGCGCCCGCAAGGGGCAGGAGCCCGATCAGCCAGCCCCCAGCGGCGCGGGGCGACCCGAGAGGCCACCGAGGAGGGAGCCCGCAAACCCAGCAAGTGCGGTGAAAGCTGGGTGGGCGGAGCGATCACACCTGGCTCAACCCTGAGCCAAAAACTTGAGATGGGGCCGGCTACGATCGTGACAACGATAAAGTGGCACACCATCAATACGTATATACATGCGTGCAGCCATACATACATACGTAAAACATACAGAACATACACACGTACATACATGCATACATATATATGTGCGTACATACACACATACATCCGTACACACATACATGCACGCATACATACAAACACAATTTGAATGGCGTTACATTGCATTGGATCGCATGGCATTGCAAAACATCTCCTTACACTGTAATACAGTACAGTACATTACATCACCATACGTTACGTTATACTAAATTACATTCCAAAACATGTATGCATGCATACAGACAGACAGACAGGAAGGCAAACAGACATATCAATAGATCAATACATACGTACAAGCAGCCGTAGACACTCACGTACAACAATACAAGTAAATACGTACAAACATCTACGCACACATGTTTGTACACTGACAGGCACCGAGGCATGCATGTTGCATACGTACATGCTACATACACTCTGGAGCCGATCCCATCAGACAACACTTCAGAAGCAAGCACGTAACAGCATCACAACCTCCGAACATGTGAGCCAAAACTAAAAGGCAAACCCAAAACCGACCACGTCCACGACCCCGACCTCGCCACTAGGGTGGTTGGCCCCGAAGCGAGCCACTACACTCGACAGGTCGGCGCCGCCTGCAAGCGCGCGAGCGATCGGTTGGAGTGGTACGCGATTGGGGAGCAGACACCGCTGCAGGACACTCACTGGGAAAGCTGCGCCCCCCCCACCTATCGGAGCACTTCTCCTGCAGACACCCGGAGAGGCCTCCGGGTGAGCTCATGCCTCCGGGTGCTACTCTGGCGACGGAGACGCCATGCCGCGGCATCCCCGAGCGCGCGAAAGGCGTGGGAGAAGGATGCCTCGGGGGTGCTCCGATGCAGTCCAACAATTAGTACGAGTGTAGGGCCAACGAAAACATGCGGCTGAGAACTCAACCACCTCGTGTCGCCCCCCCGCGGCGGCGGCGTTGGCGCCCGCGCTCCGACGTGGTACACTGGCTGCCGCCGCAGCCCCGAGGAGGAGGAGGAGGAGGACGAGGAGGAGGAGGAGGAGGGGCCTCTGGGTGAGCGCCGCCCTCGGCGGCAGCAAGGCGAGCAGCAGGGGAAGCAGCCCCCGCTGCCACCTTCCAGGGCCAGGGTGCGCTCGCGAGGCCGCCCGCCTCTGCTGCGGCTGCATCTGCCACTGCTGCTGCTGACCACCCTCATCCTCTTCGTCTGGCTGCAGCTGCCGTCATTCCTGCTATTTCTCCTCCTCCTCCTCCTCCTCCTCCTCCTCCACCTCCTTCTCCTCCTCCTCCTCCTCCTCCTCCTCCTCCTCCTCCTCCTCCTCCTCCTCCTCCTCCTCCTTCTCGCAATCATGATGCCCCGAATGATAGAATCTTTCCTCATCAGCGCCCTCCTCACTCTCGTCTACCATTCAATAGTTACAACACCGGCGAGGTAGCGGCATCCTCGTCGTAATCTCCAGGGGCTCCAGAGTCTGCAGCGCCATTGCGTGCGCCTTTCCGCGGGGCACACTGCATGAGTGCACTCGAGTCCAACGCACAAGTGCATGTCCCCCTCCCCCACGCAAAGGTAGTCAGGAAGCGAATGCTGGACGCTGGTTCGCCTCATGTTCCTCCTGTTCGCCGCTTCTCACACTGATTCCCAGGATTCGTCATTCCATGGCTATGATACGAAGAGCGACAAGCCAAAACAGAAGCGTCAAACTCCGACTCGGCAGTGCCTATCTACCAACTGAAATGCTTCAGCTCCCAAAGCCACCGAGCGCGATCTGTCAGGACCACGTCCGCGGCACCTCCTGGGAAGCAGGCACGGGCGACGTGGAAGCTTCGGCTGGTGGCGGAAGACGAGCGCGACGTCCACCATGACTGCCCCATGGGTACCCCAACTACTTTTAGCGCAAGCGCCTCAGAGCACGAAAACGATTCGACCGAAACACTCCAAATACCTTGGTTACGCATCGAGTCCATGCTGGCCACCAAATCTCAGAGACACGTTGCCTTATTCATCCCACCAGCCCTACTGGCGGAAATGGTTTAGGGTGTTTCCTCTTCCAACCCCATGTGTCCCAGTCGAGGAGGTGTTTGCCCCTCCCCCTAAACCCACTGGCCAGAAGACCCCCCCGCCTCGCAAAGGGCCTCTTGGGGGCCTCTTGGGAGCCTCTGGGGACCACTAGGGAGCGTCGTCTTGGGGGCCTCCTCGGCCCATCATGTTGCCAATCACGGTTGCCTACAACGGCCTCTTCACAATTTGAATTCCATCCCCGTCCTTCTGATGGCTCTCGCCTTTGCCCCGGCCTCACTCCGAGTGGCTCAACGGTGGGCAGTTCCATCCCCATCCTGGGAGGTAGGGGGGCTCCCCCCTCAGCCATGGCTCCACGGTGAGCGGCTTCACCCCCACGTCGGACACTCTCCCCTCAGACCTTGTCCTCGCCCTTAGAAGAGGCCAGCAATGTGTGTACGCTTGCGAGCTTCCGCAGGAATGCGCGTGAACGCGGGCCCTCATGCACGCAGGCCCGCGGAGTCGGAGGGCGTGCAAGTACAGATGCCGTTGCTCGGTCACCTCAGGCCTCACTGCAGGTGACTCCCTGCGCGGTCTCCTCGGAGGCAGGCCGCCACACGTGAAGCTTGCCCCGCGCTCTGCGGGACCCAGCATGATCGGGCCCGCGGAGCGCTGCCAGGCTGCCTGCGGTGCCACTCTCAAGCATACGCTTTTTCCAGACAACCAAATGAACTCCGCACTCCACTTTCTCAACTGCCATGCGATTCGAAGGGTCGCCAGGAAAAGCGGGTGCAACCCACGAGCCGACCTGCGACAGGCAAGCTCATGAGGCGTGCCACTCTCGAGCCCGTGCCGCCGTTCGGCTACGCGCGCAAGAGTGACCCTGGGTAAGAGTGACCCTTGGTGCGCGGCTTCTTGGGGGCCGCGGGGGGGGGCCAAACACAGGCGCGCAAGACGCCGCTGCCGCCTCGGACTCGGCGATCGCGGGACCCCAGTGGGCCCGCACCAGAAGTCACTCCGGCGAAGGGTCACTCTTACGCGCAGTCGAGAGCCGTTGACGCGGGCAGGCCCACTCACCGGCTCGCCCAGGCAGGGTAGCTTTTAAGGTCGGGCATGTCCCCGTACAGGCGGATTCTGGACGAAAAATAAAGATCCCCAAAAAAATATTCAAAAATAGTCGAAATCATATGCATAAAATACTCCGCAAAGCGTCCCCTGACTATTTTTGTTACTATTGCTGAGCGCTCCTCCTGTGGAGGGACAATGCCCGACGTGAGGGCAGCTGCCGGTGGCGACACCCCGCTCGGCTTGCGCGTGGGGGCGCGTGGTCGGGCCACAGGGGCCCTCCTCGCCTCCGCCCCCTTTCCTTCGCCGGCCTCGCCTCCCCGCGGACCCTCCCCCTCCCCCTCCTCGTTCTGCCCCCTCCGCCTCCGCCTCCCCTCCTCCCCCTGTCTTCTCCTCGAAGATGAGCACTGCTCTTCTCTCTCCCCCCTGACTCTGTCCAGAAGATGCTCCGCCCTCTCCGCACACTGCTTTCGGCACACAGGATTGGATCAACATGATTGATCTGCTGGTTCCCTTATTACCCGATTGTTGTCGGTGTTTCAAACGGTTGCTCCAGCTGCAGCGTGGGCCTCGTGTTCGGATCGGCGCTTTGCTCCCCATCGTTCAGAATGGCGCTCTCGCCCCAGCGCGGGCCACTTTTCGGGATCCGAGTCCCTGCTCATCGTTGTCGCCCCCCTCTTTTCCTCTCCTCCGCCTTCCCCTGGTCCTCCTGCTCTTCCGCTCCTTCCACTCCAGCTCCTGCTGCTGCTGCTGCTGCTGATGCCGTTTGTCCTCGTCATCCTCCTTCCTCATCCTCCTTTTCCGCCTGCTCCTCCTCCTCCTCCTCCTCCTCCTCCTCCTCCTCCTCCTCCTCCTCCTCCTCCTCCTCCTCCTCCTCCTCCTCCTCCTACCCCCTCCTCCTCCTCCTCCTACGTACGCAGCTCCCCCTTTTTTCCGATTGCGCATGCCACGATCGTCCGCGGATCGAAAAAGCATCAGCGCAATGGGAAGGGATGGGAGGGAGGGATAGGATGCCAGATGTGGCGCGAGCGCACCTGACTAGCTCTCCCTTCCCCTCCCCATCCCCCTCTCCGTGTAAGCAGCACCAGCACGAGAAGGCGAGGATGCACATCTGCTGCGCGCCGCAGACGCGACGGCGTCAGCAGGCAATGCAACGGGCGCCTCTGGATGGCCTGGCTGCTCTGTCCTGCCTCTCGGCTCTTCTGTCCCTGACCTGGGGCAGAGGGCACGCAGCATCTTTCGTGGCAGTGCGATCACTGCCCGTGATGGTCCTCCTCCTCCCCCTCCTCCACCATCCTCCTCCTCCTCCTCCTCCTCCTCCTCCTCCTCCTCCTCCTCCTCCTCCTCCTGCTCCTGCTCCTCCTCCTGCTCCTGCTCCTGCTCCTGCTCCTCATCCTCTCCCGTCTTCCCCCCTCCTCCCTCTTTATCCCTCCTCCTCCCACCTTCTCCTCCCTCCCCCCCTCCTCCTCCCTCCTCCTTCCTCCTTCCTCTCTTCATCCCCCCTCCTCCTGAAAAACCATGCCGATCTGCTGCGGCTAGCAAGTAGGGAGCAGCTCACGCAGCTGGAGGAGAGGACGACAAGTGACCCTGAACGAGAGAAGAAATCAACGAGGTAAGTAATCGTGCCGTCTGGACAACGGGAACGGCTCCAGAGAAGTGGACGGCGAAGACGACGACGGGGGAGAGCGACGACAGTGAAGAGAGAGAGAGAGAGAGAGAGAGAGTAGAGGGCAGAGCCAAGAGTGAAAACAGTCGCGCAAAACGAAGAGAGACGCCGGAGGGGGTGCGCAGACAGCAAACACGACATGGCACGGCATGGCAACTCGTCGGACGGTGGTGACAAAACATACGACGGCGATTACAGTGCAACATCAGCGGCGCAACCACAACGACACACAAAACGAAATCCATGCATCACCCACCCACACCAACCCACTACACAACCACCCACCAGGAACAAAACAAACAGACAAACAGGCAAGCAAGCAAACAACCAAGCGAAACAAAGCTTGAACGAAACGATGCACGCAAGAATGAGAGTCGAGGCGGACCTGTCTTTTTCTGCCCTTGTCATCCCTCCTATCAGTGGGTCTTCCATCGTTGGCCCTCGCAGGAGAATCCGACGGATTCCTGCGAGCGCGAAGCTTGACGCTGTCCTCGAGCGGGCGGGATCGGAGAGAGGCCGAAAAAGTGTGACGAGACCAGGCACGAGCGCACTGCTGAGGGGACGGAGAGCAGAAAAGGCAGGGCCAGGGGCGAGCACGCAACCCCAGGAAGCAAGAGAGAGGAGCAGAAGCGGCAAGCAGCAGCAGCAGCAGCAGGATGTGGAATCCTGGCCATATCTCATGTTGCTCCCATCGCAGTTACGGACCAGATCCCAGAAATAATTTCGAGCACCCAGAAAAGTATCGAAAAGGTGTCGGAAGAATATCGCTTCCCAGGGCCCGACACGTGGACGCCCTCCAGTTTCGGTACTTTCTGGTGCTCGAAATTACTCTCTGGTGATCGAGGCTAAAGTAGGGTGGAACATCATAAGCCATGCCCACTCCAACCCCATCGGCCAGTGGCATTGTTGAAAGAGCGGATGGCATGACGAAAGAACGATAAGGACCCCCGAGCAGGAAGGCGAGACGACAGAGGCTGGAGAAGCGCAGCAGAGGAGCCATGATCCAATGCATTGAACCTCCTGTGCCGTCTTGGACACTGCCCGGACCAAACGCCACAGCTGGAGAGCCAAGCGGGAGAGGGAAGAGTGGAGAGAATACGCGGGAGAGGGACGAGCGAGGCGCGCTCGGGCCACGCCTCCCACCCTGCCCACTTCGCCTTCTTCGCGTCGATACGTCACCGGGATGCGCGCGGGGAGATCCGATGACGCCTGGGCGAACAACAAAAGAAAGAAAAACGCCGCCGAACGGCGCCCCTTCTCAGAGGCAGGGCTGCCGAGACCATGACGAGATCCCGCAGCGCTCCCAGGAGACCCAGCGGCAAGAGCAGAAGGAAAAAAACGCCATAGACAAAGCTTTCGGCGCTCCGCGCGGAGCGCAAAGAAGCTTATGTGTATGGCGTTTCTTCTTATTAATATTCTTCTTATTCTTATTCTTCTTAGTATTATTATTATTATTATTATTATTATTCTTATTATTCTTCTTCTTCTTCTTCTTCGAGGAAGGGCGGGGGCAAAAAGGGTGGCGCGGCCCGGGGATGCGCCACGGGCCCTCCCCGGCGACCCCGCAGGAGCCCCGGGCCAGCTCTCGCGAGGGCGAGGCGGCGGCTAAGAGCGCCGCCTCACGACGGGCCCGCGCGGGTCCCAGGCCAGACGCCGCGCCCCACGACCCAGCCGCGCCGGTCGGGCCTCCTCCGCCTCCTCCTCCTCCTCCTTCGCCTCCTCCTCCTCCTCCTCCTCCTCCTCCTCCTCCTCCTCCTCCTCCTCCTCCTCCTCCGCCTCCTCCTCCTCCTCCTCCTCTCGGGCGCAGCGCCGGTCAGGCGCGTTGTCTCAGGGGCGCAGGGGAGGAGGGCGGCGCTCACACACGGCGAAGCGCCTGAGCGCGCCAGCCGGCCGCGCGAGGAGTCGAGCGGTCCGCCCGCAAAGCGCGAACTCTGCGGGCAGGCAGTCGTCACCCATGAAGGAAACGCGAGTAGTGAAGGGGCCCCAGGACACACAAATAAGAACACACGAATCCCAGGATTCCATATATTTTCCCGTATTTTCTGGGGTTCCGTCTTCCCCCCCACTTCCCATATCTTCCATGTGTGTTTTTCTCCTCCTGAAGCAGGTCAGGCCAGGTCGGGTCAGGCAGTCCGCGAAAGCTCCTCGGTGAGGAGACGGCCCAGGGGGAGGAAAAGGCACCAGAAGCTCCAGCCCAGCGCGAGCAGGAGTGGGTGACAGCGATTCAGGCCGAATCACCTTGAGGAAGAATCGCCCTCCATCTGCGCGGCTGTTTGCGAACGTTGAAGAAGATGAACGTGTGTGGCGCAACAGCGAGAGTCACATCTTGAGACGACTAGTGCTCCAGTTGTCTGCTAGAAACTTTTGAGACGAAATCGAATCACGACTTGAAGACGCCTTGTTCGCACACGGCCCAAATGTTGTGAAAGTCTTCAGACGAATGTGCGCGGCACTGAGGAGAGGAGCACATCTTGAAAACGAGCTGCCCTCCATCCGCGTAACCGTCGGAAATGCTGCGACTCGGGACCATCAGACTCGGACAAAGCGCTCGGCCACCCTGCCAGCAAGCTGGAAGAGCTGCTGTTGAGAGAGAAGGGTGGAAGAGGGGGCGGGCGGGGAGAGGTAATGACGGGATGGGGTACGGGAACGGAGGGGTAGGAGGGATTTCCTACAGAAGAAGTCCAGCCGTCACCAACACACGGCATGAGGACAGCCTTGGCCCCAGCATCCCTGGCAATTGCATGGCCGAACGTGGCCTACCACCACGTAGGCATCCGTCAAAGGATACATCGAGGAGCAAGGGCAACATCATATCGACCTGCCCGCACCAGAGGCACTCGCATCCTGGTCCAGGATGCAGCCTTGGAGACGCCCCACGCGATTCTGCAAGTATCCAGAAGAGCGGACACTGTTCCGGGGATCGTGCTTTCTCATCTGCTGGGACGCCTCATAACTGCCACCGTGCCCTCGGCACCTAGGAGCGCGTCAGACTGTTTCTCAATTGTCTGGTAGGGGTCTCTCCGGGGATTGCTTCTGGGCGACCTTTACGGCCTCCCGATGGCTCGAAGACAACGCAAGACCGCTTCAGGACGGCTGCAAGGTGGCCCAAGACCAGCCCAAGACCGCATAACGACCCTCGAAAGGCTCCACCCAGGGAACAGCTTTGTAGAGGCAGCCCCTGGCCACTGTTAGAACCCAAGAGCGAGACACAACTCGAGAATGCTGTATTTCCAAAGCTGTTCGACTTAGATCGCCTCGGGAGAGCTCCAGACAGCTCCGAAAAGGCCCCGAGGCAGCCCAAGGCGGCCCCAAGAGAGCCCAAAGACAGATGACGATCAGAAACCACACCCAAGACGGCCAAAAACCAGCTCCAGACGCGCCTGAAGCGCGCCCAAGACGACCAAGAGAAATCCCCTCCGGGAGCAGGAGGAGGAAGAGAAGTAGAAGAGAACCGCCGCAGAGGATGAGAGGATGGAGACCTAAAACAAGAGGGAGAAAGGGAGATGGAGACGGAGGTGGAGGTGAGGATGGAAGAGGACACGTACACGGTGTTCGCGGGCCCAGCGAAGGAACCGAATGGGCTGGGGCCGAGCACGAGGTCGGAGCGGGGCCGCAGGGCAGAGAGCAGCACCGAGGGCGTGGACGAGGGCACGGGGAACGACGTCCTCCAGGGGCTTGCCCCCGAGCGTCGCCACGCGCTGCCTGGCGCGGGCCCGGGGCAGCCTGCGCCCAGAGAAGGAGGGAGAGACAGAGAGAGGGAGAGGGGGGGGGGGCATGCACGGAGGAGGGAGGGGTAGAGGCAGAGGGAGACAGTGGTATTACTTTGTCGTGGGTTCGGGGCTGGATTGCCCTTGGCGTTGAGATGGAGGGTCGCCATGTCGGCCCAGTCCCCCTAACACCCGCACCTCCAAGCGTTTCCCAAGTGCCACAACCCTCATTGCTTCTCCAGCCGCGTGCTGTGTTTGTCTTGCGCTGCTGATTGTCGGTCTGCTTGTTTGTGTCAGCTTCTGTGAGCATCGCTTATCCGACCCCCATCCCCAGCGGCGTGGCCAGGGCCCCACTGGCCGATTTACCCCCCTAGATGGGGATACAGGCCGTCTCCTTCGGGTTTCGAGGAGGAGTGCATCCCCAACTGGGGTGGTAAGTTGGTGGGGGTCTCGAAGGGGAGGAGGGTGGGGACGGGGGTCGGTTACCTAAACGATACTGATTCTGCGGGGGAAAATTACGCATTGGGCACAGTCTCGTTCACTGCTGCGTCCGTGGGGCGCCACCCTCTCTCCCTCCCCGTCCCCCTCCCCCCGTCTCCCCGTCTCCCCGTCTCCCTCCGCCGCGCGTCCTCCTGTGGCCCTCGCCTCGTTCGTGTTCGAGCCTCCGCTCGGTCGGACAAGGGCCTGGGCTACAAGAACATGAGACCCCGTCCAAACGGTCACCTGAAGAATCGGGGCTTGAGGCCGGCATGCCTCCAACACGCTCTCAAACAGGTCCGCGAGGACTCGGAGTGCCGCGCCAGCCCGACGCTGCTGTCGCTGAAAAGCTCGGCACTGGGAGTGGCTTCAAACAAGAGACAAGATCTGACTTCCCGCGACTCGTTGCAACGCGACCACACCCCGACATCGACGCGACCGCGTCACTCCACCTTGGAGCGGCTTGTTCCGTCAGAATCCCCGCCGCCCCACTGCTGGAGCTGTCTGTGGGAGGTGGCCCGACTGCGCCCTTTCCTGCGAGGACGGTCTTTCGGCCCTCGAAGCAACTGGCTTCTGTGGTCAACCGAAAAACACCCGGAACAGACCAGCTCATACTGAGCCGGGATACGCGCCACCCAGTCGAAGCGGGTGATCTGGCCTCGACTCTGGGCGTGGAGCCGGCCCCCACCTTGGCAAGCGCGCAAGACACAGGCGCGCAGCGCGTTGCGAACCACTTCCCAAGGTTTGGGCCCAACTTCCAAGGAAAGCTGCCGCGGCCACTCTCTCGGCAGACATGAGGCCCAGGCCACCGTCAACGAAGCGCAAGATGCACTGCACCTTCTGGTCTTCCCGCAACGGTTGCCCCGCAAGCCAGCCGACTGCCCCCGCGACGACCGCGTCGAGCTGCTGCGTCCACGGGCCCTCCTCGTAGCTTGCCTGGAGGAGGCGTGTGACGGTCCCGTTGGTGCACGTCTGGAGGAGGGAGAAACAGTGGCGAGGGTGGAGCCCAACGCCTCGAAGCTCCTTCAGCCGGCTCACACGGCGCTCGGCCTCTCTGACCGCAGCGTCACCATCTACATTGCCGTGAACTGGCAAGCGAGCCAGTGGATCCTTGGGATCGACCCAGGGGTCGACGGCACCGAGGCGGAGGAGGCTGGGCGTCCGCAGGGGCTCCAGGTCTGGGGGCAGCTGCGCCGCGGGGCGGGGCGTCCACACCACGTTTTTGCCAGCGTTGATCGTGAGGCCCGCGGAGCCGAGCTCCTCGCACACGACCCAGTGAGCCATGTGGCGAGGGCGGCGGGGACAACGCTCACGACGTCACCGAGGTTGGCGAACACCCGCGCGCCCAAGGTCCCCTGGCGAAGATGGGTGTTCATGGCATCGAAAGCGCCCGCCAGCCCGAGCGCAAAACACGCTGGCGAAAGTGAGCAACTTTGGTCCATCCTCTGGTAGCCGTGATTCTTCGGCCCTGGCCCCCAGAATCCCAATGAATGTGGCTGGTGCTCCTGGCCAACCACGCAGCAACGATGCCGGAGAGGTACGGCGCCCGCACTGCCATGGCGTCCAAAACCCGCCCCCGCTGCAGGCTGTTGAAAGCACTGGAAGCAGTATCGAAAGCCAGCACTGCGACACCCGAGACAGCCGCTGTCAAGGCTGTGATTGCATTGCGAACCTGCTCACATCCTACCTGCGCCCCACGCCGTACTGGCGAGGGTCCACCTCCTGGCGCGGCGCGTCCCGGAAAGCTCCGCATGCAGACCGGCCGGCCGAGCGAGGCAGCACAGAACCGCACGCCACGGGCCGAATATTGCCGTTCGGCTGTCGCAGCGCAATCAACCGAACGCCCAAGCTAGCCGCCAGAAAGTCCTCAAGTCACTCCTTTATATATATATATATATATAGAAAAAATGACGATGGCTTCGCAGACATGGGCCTCCGAGTCCGTGTCGGCCACTGCCGTGGCCCAGTGCTCGAAGCGCGAAACTTTGGACCGGGGGCCAGAGCGGGCCGGGTAGCGCCAGAGGTGTTTGGACGCCTCCGCGACCAGCTCTGCGCGAGTCTCCGCGGGCAAGGGAGCGGCTGGGGCAGGCGGCCTGGACAGTGCGCCAGGGGGGAACAGCCGCCAGAAAGCGTCGTGCACGTCCGTGCCGGCGGCCAGGGCTCCGCGCCGCATCACCTGCGCCAACGCCGTGCTCAAGAAGCCTTGCTTGACGAAACCTTGTACCGTCTGCGCCTTTTCTGCAGGGGTGGGCGGATGCGCGCCGCGGCGTGGAGCGCGGTCGGCGGCGGCCGCGGCTTCGCGCCAAAAGGTGCCCCAATGACCTTTCCAGCCCAGCCGGAGTCGGGCGGTGATCACTCCAGAAAGACCTCAAAGAAAGCAGCTTGCACGCGCAGGCCTCGACGACCGCGTCTCCGGAAGTTCGCGCTTCCCGGATTGCCCTGCACAGTGCCCCGCGGAACACGGCCAGCCCGTGGTGTGTATCTGCTGGAGTGCAACCCAGCGTGGGCACCCAATCGTCCAGGGCAGAATCTTGCACGCCTCCTCCTCGTCCTCCTCGTCCTCCTCCTCCTCCTCCTCCTCCTCCTCCTCCTCCTCCTCCTCCTTGTCCTCCTTGTCCTCCTCCTCCTCCTCCTCCTCCTCCTCCTCCTCCTCCTCCTCCTCCTCCTCCTCCTCCTCCTCCTCCTCCTCCTCCTCCTCCTCCTCCTCCTCCTCCTCCTCCTCCTCCCTCCCTCCCTCCCTCCCTCCCTCCCTCCCTCCCTCCCTCCCTCCCTCCCTCCCTCCCTCCCTCCCTCCCTCCCTCCCTCCCTCCCCCCCCCTCCTCCTCTCCTCCGGCGGGGCCCGCCTGGCTGCCAGCAGCCTCTCCTCGGCGCCGCCGCCCGCCAGCGCCGCCGGGGGGGGGAGGCAGGAGAGCCCCAGCCGCGGCCGCGAGAGGGAGCCGGCGCCCACCCCGAGGGGCTGCCGACAGGGGTTGGCGGTGCGCACAAGGGGGTGGAGGGAGGGGGGATGGTTTCTCAGAAGGAGGCTACTTCTTAGAAAGCCCCGGCCTGACGTCTATAGAGAAGACCAGCGCGTTCTAAGAAGCAGGGGTGTTTCTAAGAAGCCCTCCCCCACCAACCCCCCTCTGCGCGTGGCTGAAGGGGAGCGACGACAAGGAACGTTCGGTGGTAACTCATGGAAGCCTCCCGTGCCACCTTGTCGGCTCTTGCGAATCGACAATCATCGACGCTAAATCGACGCTAATCGACGCTAAATCGACGCTAACCGGCGAAAACATCGGCGCTATCTCATCGACTCTAGACGCTAATCGACGCCAATCGACGCTAAAGACGTAATTAAGAGGGCATACGAAGCTCCAGTGACTTGCTACCGAAGAAACGATCCCAGGGAAGGACTCTATGGGACGCAGGAGAGCACACCAGTACGATGTGCCCTCCTTGTGGAGGCGCGCGTCCGACCCGAACAGCTAGCACGAGCACAACGTAGCACTTCGTTTCCCGGGCGGCACAGCCAGAAAGCGCCCGCCACGGAGCCTGTACTACATCGGATATGTCGGCGCGCGCATCGCCCCTGGGGGGGGGGGAGGCGCGGGGGCGACACACACACACACACAACAACAACAACAACAACAACAACAACAACAACAACAACAACAACAACAACAACAACAACAACAACTACTAGCACGTGGGGACACTCCGTTCTCACCAGTGCCAGGGTTTTCATAGGAGGCGGGCAATACCCCCACTTTGTGGGGGGGCCGGTTCAAGCTCTACCAAATTTCCAAACGACTCTTCGCCACCACCCACACCCAGCTTCCCGCCCTATGACGTTCGGACACTTCACTTCGTGGCATGCGGACGACCGTGGCTACTATTCAGGGCCCCGCGGCCGACGACGACGGCGTGCGCGCGCGAAGAAAAAACGAATGTGTCCCGCATGGTATTATTTGACAGGGATGATGGCCCTGGCAGGTGCGCAACCGTTGTCGCAGAAGTTCGAAAAAGTTGCTCGCAAAAGCCCGTTTGACAGAAATGTTTAAAAAGTGTTGGGTTTCCTACGAATCCGCAAGAGCGCGCGGGATGAGATTTTGACAATTTTTTGTTGAAAAACCATTGGTTTTTTGATGTTTTTATGTTAAAATCGCTGCGAACACTAAGGTTTTGGAAGGATTTCGTCTTGCGCGCGCGAATGTCCACTTTACCTTATTTTTTGCAAGGGATTCTTGAAATTTGATTATATTAGAACAAGAAATGTCATTTTCTATTGTTTTTTGCAAGGGAAAGCGGATTACAACAAAACAACCGGATCCTGTACACACCCTCTTTTCTGAGGCTTCCTCACGAAAATGATGAAAATGTAGCTGCGGCCTAGGCGGCGCAGGGGGGGAGCGCACCAGGGGGCCCAACAATAATTATTCTTTAGAATAAATAATGTTCAACAACAACAACAACAACAACAACAACAACAACAACAACAACAACAACAACAACAACAACAACAACAACAACAAAAGACGTAGTATTAGTACTAGTATGCTCTATAGGGCACAGGTTGCGAAGGACGACACGGCGCCGGACTGGCCATCGCTCAGACGCCCATGCCCCTGTGCTCTTTTCGAGCTCGTGCGCGCATGTTTTGTTCGCAAGGTGGCCCAAGATGCTCCTCGACGGGGCTCGCCCAGAAAGACGCACGCGTCCGAGCGGTGCCGAGCGGAGGGGCCGCGCGGGGCCACATGCCCGAGGGGGCGAGCCTCCCACAGGCGGGCCGAGCGGCGGGGCCGCCCGAGGCGCGCCCTCCTCGGCCCCTCTCCTGGCGGTGGGGCGAATGGTCGGGGTCTGGTCTGGCCTGTCGGTGGCGAGCCCCGGGAGGACGAGGCGAGGCGAGCACAACCAGAGTGGGCAGAACACGTAACGCTGGAGTCGGGGAAGAAGCATTCCAGATCCTATGTTGTAGCGCGCGTAGTCCACTACAACCTGCCAGTGGGGGGGGAGTGAAATTCCACTGCTCACTGGCCAGGCCCAACCTGAACCCAGCAGCAGTGCATACGCCCTCCTGGCCTGGCCGCGGGCGCACACACACACACACACACACACACACTGCTTCCAGGTTCAGAAGGGGCCTGGCAGGGGAGCACTGGACATGGATAGATCCCGTCGCCCGATGAATTTGTCGGCTACACGCTACACGCAAAAGACACACACTGTAATGTTCGAGAACGAGCAACAACCATGGAGTGGTTCGCCGGTCGGCCAAGAAGACGAAGGCTGGGAGAAACAAACGCATCCGCCGAACGTGGCGAAGATGGATTTGCTACACGCAGGAAGGACCCTAGATAGAAATGCCTTTTGGTGCGCGGTTTCTGTGGGGGCCGCGGGTGGCTCAAACACATGCGCGCATGACGTTACTGCCGCTATGTTGCTCCCATCGTACTGAGGGACCAAATCCCAGAGATAATTTCGAACACCCAGAAAAGTATCGAAACAGCGTCGAACGAGTATCGCCTCCCAGGGCCCGAACGTGAAAACCCTCCAGTGTTGGTACTTGGTACTTCTTGGTGCTCGAAACTTCTGGTGATCAAGGCCACACAGATTGGAACATCAGAATGCTACCGCATCGCTCTCGGCGTTCGGGTTGAGGGCCCACTGGGCCCGCACCCAGGTTCAGTCCGGCGAAGGGTCAATCTCCGGTGTAGTCGAGAGGGGGGCCTCCTCAACAGGTTCGGAAATTATTCCGGCCTGGCTCCGCAATCCCACATGCCTTTTTTGGCGACAGGTGGTCTAAGGAGGGTCTCTTTCCTCTTCCACAACCCCTCTTCCCTTCGGGGAGGGGCACCCTCCCCCTCCCCTCCCTGAGGTTTTTTGGGAGGGGTCGCGAGGTGTCGGAGGCGCCTTTTTCGGCCCCTGGGAGGGCCAATGTTTGACAGCCCTCACGAGGATCGTGGCCCCCGAGGGGGGGAGGGAAATCGAGGACCACCCCTCTTTTGACCGACCGCCTCCAAGATGGCCCCAAAAGGCGTTCCAGGGCTCCCAAGAGGCCCCCAAGAGGCCCCAAGAGCGTCCCAAGAGGCCCCAAGAAGGCTCCAAGAGGCACCCGAGAGGCACCCGAGAGGCCCCCGAGCGGTCTCAGAGAGCCCAAGATGACCTCCAGGATGGCTCAAATAGCCCAAGCTGGCTCAAGATGGTTCCCAAGATGCTCCAAGCGGCCCCAAGACCGCTCCAAGACGGCTCCAGATGGCCACGGAACCTCCCAAGCCTCCCTCGTTGTTTGACTCTGCGTGCCTCTTCCTCGCTCCCCCCGTCAACTCTCATGGGCATCGCTTCTGGATGGGCTGGTGGGAAATTTGTTGGTCGGCGGCCGCGCGACAACGGTCTGGCGGCAACAGGCGTGTCCGGGACGGCGGTACAGGCAAATTGCACGCAAGGCGTGCGGTGCACGTGCACTGAGCAAAATGCTCCACATTCGTAGTGACGCACCTAGCGCACAGAGGTGCGAGTGCTACGGAGGGAGTCGCCCTTGCGGCGCCAAGCTCCGAGCATCTACCCAGACAGATGCACCAGCCTGGGGGACCAGCTGCTGGTGGTGGAACACAAAGACCGTCGGAGCTGAAGGCTGGACCACTCAGCGCGCGGCCAACGGAACCACCTCAGAGCTGTTGGGGCTGGCCATGACCGACGGACGAGTCGGCACCGGCGGAACAGCCGAAAAACGCGGGCGAGGCATCACACTGGCAAGGCGACCCATCACAATCACCCACATCTCGGAGGAAACCGCCGTCCTTCGGAGGCTGGTGGGAAATGCGAAGCGTCAAGAATTGCAAAACACTTTTCAGGGCCCCAGCAGGTGCCGCTCCGCTCCCCTCTTCCGTCCTCTGCCTGTAGCCACGTTGGCCCCGCCCGCCAGCTGTAAGACGCCCCTCCCTCCCGCCAACTCCTCCTCCTCCTCCTCCTCCTCCTCCTCC